GTCTTAGCTGCTATATTATATTTTTATACTGCTTTGTGGGTAATATCCTTTTTCGTTGTTCTGTTTGGTTTTTCTTTTATGAACAGTACCTCATCACCTGGGTATCATGACACTTGACCACAATCCCAGAGTTCTTGGAGGCAAGGCAGGAGGATTGCAGGTTTCAGTTCAGTATGACCTTGTCTCAAATGGATTGAGGATGTAACTCAGTGAAGAAAACCTGGGATCAGTCCCTAGTGCTATAAAACAAAGCAACCAGAAAATGCCTTAAAAACAAGCAAACAAACAAACAAAACAACTCACTGCATTAGCTTTCTAGTATTTAAAGCTAGCAAGTTTTACTACCATGTATGTCATAAGTGCATATTGTCAAATCATAACTGATACAATGTTAATTTTACTGTATATTCTACATTTTCCACCAAAACCATATGATTCATGTTTTCCCAACAATTTGTGTTTGTATGTATATAAATATGTATAAATTTATATGTATATAAATTTTTTTTGTATGGGGATTGAATTCACAACCTCCCTTGCCAGGCAGGCACTTAGCTTACACAGCTGAATTAAATCCTCAGCTATTTCTATATAATTTTAATGACATTTATTTATATTTCATTGTATGATTCTTTTCACATCAATTTATTTGAAATGTATGCTTTAATTATCTAATGAGATGTAGCATCTTTTTTTTTCCTCTGAATTTCCTATTAAAGTGTATTTATGTATTTATTTATTGTGGTACTTGGGATTGAACCCAACACAACTCTTATCACTAAGCTACATCCCCAGCCCTATTCCTCTTTATTGCCTTTACATTTTTGCTTCATTTTAATTTTTTGAGACAGAGTTTCTGTGTGGCCAGATTATAGGTGTGTATGCTACCAGTATTTTTAATATCTTCTATTTCAATAGATGTGTGCGATGGTGCGCATTTATAATCACAGCATTTGGGGAGGTTAAGGCAAGAGAACTGCAGGATCAATTCTAGCCTTTTGTGATTAAGAGATTTTTAAATTTTATTTACAAAATTCTGGAAGCAAATCCTATCTTCTGTGTGTATCAGTAACACTTCACTATTTCATTCATGAATTCTCGTTACAATGGTCTCAGCTCTTGTAGTTTGGTCATCATAACATCATAAGTCATTTAGTATACTTACAAATTCAATTTATCCCATAACCTGAATGACATCATTATTTCTGCTTCATTAGCTTATTTATTTAAAATGAGGAAAAACTCTTAAAACTCTGTGAAATGAAAGTCAGAATCCAATAGCATTTTTGGTGTCAGTACTAAAATTGAGACTTACACAGGTATGAATCATTCTCAACTCTGGGTACATTATATTCACCAACAGAGATTTTACTGAAACAAGGGCATTCATATTTTTAAAAGCTCACAATTGATCATGATTGACTTTGAGGTTTGAAAACTATCTTTCAAGACAGCGGGATTCATCTCTCCTGCAAATGATTTTTTATGAAGCTCTGTGAACACAGGGAGGTTCTCTCATCTTTTTTATGACAGGTGCATAGGTGGTGTGTGAAGAAGTACTTGTTTGATACAGCAGCCTTGACTGTGTGTTGAGTGAAATAATTACGCCTTAGCTTTAAGCTATTAAATCTCAGTGCTTTTCTACTGCTCCCTATTAAAGGTTTTACTCAAGTCATGTTTAAGTGTGTCGCACTTTGAAGCCTTTCCTTGTTTCTGTGGATTTTGCCAATTTTAACTTTCAGGTCTTCGGTGTACACTAATTAAAATGTTAGTTCTTTACCTATGTACACATTTCAGAGGCACCTGTGTTAGATTTGATTCATCAAGCCAAGCACAGAGAAATTTATGGCAAATTGTATGGTTCCTTGGCTCTTAATTGCAGCATGAGAAAAACTGGTTAATTTGATTAAATCCATTGTCAGAGTATAAAGACTAACTTAGAAATGAAACATTTTTATAGTCATCAAAACAAGATTATAAAGAAAAGATTGACAGGATCAGTAAATGAAATTAGAAAGACAGATTTGGTTTAATTGAAATCCCATTGTTTACAGGTGATAATTATTCTACAAAATTCTATGCAAAGGCATTAAAGAAACTTGAAAGTTACAAAATAAAAGTCAGACTGATGTTGAAAAGCAGTAATAGATTACAAGACCTTAGAATCTCTTCTACTGTAAACGTTTTGACATCACTTTTATTGTTTGTTTTTCTTTTATAGTGACTTTTGACTCTTCTAGAACTCTTTTAAGTTAGCCTGCATGTATGAAAGCATCTTATATCACAACTGTTGGTAAAAGTTCTGACATCAGTTGTTTAAATGGAAAACTATTAAAATGTTATCAAATGTATAGCACTACATTAAATAACGTTTGGTATTTATTATTTGTGTCTTTCATTTCATAGTATTTTCTCATTACTTAGACTTCTTATATGATACCATTATTGAATGGTTTATTCCTCATATGTTTATTTTGTAGTTAATTGTATTTAAGTATTCTTTCAGGGTTACAAATGCATAATAATTTTGATCATATCTTTAATCTTTTTTCTAAATATTAAATGGATTAATTATTAAAGATGCTTTTGTTAAAAATTAATGAATAAGGTAGATAGAACATATCTATCTTTGGAAACAAAATCAGATTATGTAATTGTTGTGGCTAACTTCATCTGGAGTTACATAATAAGCAAAATGCCTAAGTTTCCCCCCATACGTGGCATTCTTACCTGATTACACCTTTTGTTGTAATGCATTTTCTCATCTTCTTACTTCCCTATGAACTCCTAATTTTGAGCTATTGGTATAGCTTGAACTAGTATGAATGGTCATCATCATGCTTTAAAACTGATTCATTGGTACAAAATTCAGAATTTGGTCTTTTCAATCATGTCTTATTTATCCACCGTGTCTTGTCGTATTTATCTTTGTCAAATTCTATTTATGTGTCTATCTGTCTATCTCCCTTGTGTATTTTAAAGATGGTCAATCATATGACTGAGTTAGTGAGTTATAAAGTTATTATAATTTCTAAAGTATGGTAATGTGATCTTATTTTCCCCCCAAATTTAAGAAATTTTAGTGCTCTTTCTCAGCAGAGGTTTAACGAGCAATTGATTGTTTTGCAAGATTCTTAGGTAACAGTGAGACTTAATAACCTTTCATTTTACCAGGACAGACCTGGAAGTTAAATGTTAGTGATGGCACAATGTCATATTGCTCTTCCTATCATTAAAAATTCAGCAATGTATTTCATGAATTAATTGAGCAAATGTTTAGTATTAACATTTTTAAAATATCAAGGTACTTAGCATTCTGTCATGGAGAACAAGCATTCTCATGTGAAATTGCCTATAATTTCCATCTGTTACTCTTACTTTCCTAATTCTATAGATTTTTTTTTCTTTTCTTCTATGTTTCATTTTTAATACTCAGAATTACTTCTTTTCAGATTTTTCTTTTCAAAATAATTTTGGAATGTGAAAAGCGACATTATCACCAAAAGCTAGGGGAAGAAAAACAAATAGTCAATGAGTTAAAAAAAATTTGTGGGATTCAGTATAGAGTGAAAACCTTCCAGGATCTTAGGATAAGATCCCATTAATGAGTTTAAAATTGAGAAATAACATAATGTGTGTTTAAAAGATGAGAGTCCCGTCAGGAGAACCTTGTGGTGTTCTCATTTTGGCATTTGGACTAGAGCAAGGACAAAAGAGATGAAAAGAGACAGATTTGGAATATAGTCCCTGAGAATCAATGGATTGTGGAAGGAAGGAAGAGATTCTAATACAACGGTTACACAGTATTACCATAGTCTTAAGTGGAATACAAGGTATTTTCTTTAGTTTGGGGAAAATAAGTCAAGAGTTCTGTTTTGTGCATTTTGATCTAAGGTACTCAAGAGAATATGCTTAATAGGCAATTCAGTTAATGACTGGTGGTGAAAGGTGAAGCAAGAGCCAGTCATTAGCATGTATTAATGATGTTTAAAATCAGGAGTGTTGCAGAGATCATAAGGATCACAGCAGAGGCAGAGCAGAGTGCTGTGGCCTGCATCACTTAGATGCGGGTAGACGTGAAAGAGCCTGAGAAGAATCAAGTGTAGCAATTTTATACAACGCATAAGAATGTTTTAATAGAAGTTGTACATATTTAGGAGATACTGTGCTTTGTGAGCTTCTAAATATATTATAGTTAGTAAATCTTTGGTAAAATTTCAAGGACCATTCTGAATCACATAAAGTAGTCTATATGATGCTGGAATGATTGCTGGGAAATCATTCTAGTTTCCTTTATGTCCTTTCCCTTACTCAGGGCGTGGATCCTTGGAGTCACTGCACACTTGGTCAGGTTGGAGAAGTTTTCCAGAACATTCTCAGGAGTGAGGTGTCCTTTGGCCTTCCTCTGAGGATCTTCTTTCTCTTAAGATAAATTGATTATTAAAGTCATCTTTAATAATGTCAGTGACAACCTGGAGAACCCACAGCAGCCAGGTTTATCAGTTCTGTAAAGAGACTCAAAGCAATGCAGTGGAGACTAGCTAAATGTGCTTACTGCCTTGAATCAGGCCAGAGTTCTGCCGTGTCCCCTATTTTTTGACCTGCCTATTTTTTGCCCCTCAATATAAATTATACAATGAAAAGAGTGGAGCTATTTGGTCTCTGCTGTATCTCATGCCATTGTGTTATCATTTTGGCCTCACACAAGTTTGGGAGAATGTATTTTGAATCCTTTTTATAGAGGTGAAGATACTGACATTTTGGTTATCAGGACTTCAGAAAATAAAAGAAAAGACATTCATGAAAAGTCAGATACAAACTAGAGTCCCACAGTTCTTCAGAGGGTAAAGCATACTTAAAATGGAAATGAAGTCATGTGTGTGAGACATACTGATACGTTCTAAGTGTCCATTAAAAATGTGTTTAATCTCCTAATGCTAAGTGAAATATTCCTAATGCTGTACTAATGACAATTTCCTCTTTCTCTCTTTTGGTTTCAGAGGAAGAACTTGTCTCTTTTTCTCAGCATTAGTTTGTTAACTTTCTGGGGAACCTCCCTTTTGGGTGCTCGGTTATACTGGATGGGCAACAAACCACCCAGCTTTTCCAACTCTGACAACCCCGCTGCAGATTCAGACAGCCTCCTGGCTCGCACGCTGACCTTCTTCTATTTGCCAACCAAGAACCTCTGGTTGCTGCTCTGCCCAGATACCCTCAGTTTTGATTGGTCCATGGATGCCGTGCCTCTGCTGAAAACAATCTGTGATTGGAGAAACCTACACACTGTGGCCTTCTATACTGGACTGCTCCTCCTTGCCTACTACGGTTTGAAGAGCCCAAGCATAGAAAGAGAATGCAATGGGAAAGCTGTCACAAATGGCAAGCAGAATGCAAATGGACATAGCTGCCATTCAGATGTGGAGTTCCGGAACTCAGACGTTAAGCCCAGCTTTGCCCCTAAAGTAGAAAATGGCATTAAAAAGAATGTATCGCAGACAACACAGCTCCCTTCTACAGAGAACATTGTTGTTCTCTCTTTATCTTTGTTGATAATACCCTTTATTCCTGCTACGAACTTGTTTTTCTATGTTGGCTTTGTAATTGCAGAGCGAGTATTATATATTCCTAGTATGGGCTTCTGCCTCCTGATTACAGTGGGTGCCAGAGCCCTGTATGTCAAAGTCCAAAAACGGTTTCTCAAGAGCTTGATTTTTTATGCTACGGCTACATTAATTGTTTTCTATGGACTCAAGACTGCGATCAGGAATGGAGATTGGCAGAATGAGGAAATGCTGTACAGGTCAGGGATAAAAGTGAACCCAGCTAAAGGTAATATTTTATTTTATGCTTTTGCCTGTAGAGTTTATACTTTCACCCTTTTTGTGTCTTTGTTTCCTGCCTTAAATCACGACATTGCAAAAGAGATCCTTTTATGCAGTATCTGTATCTCTTACTCTATATATTAAAAGGCGTACAAACCAATTCAGAATCACATCTAGCAGTTGCCGTAGGGAAATATTTTCTTGTTTATGAGTGTGTCCAGAAGAATTAGAACTGTTACGGTTTTGAAATGTTGACCATCATTAACAATTAAGAAAAATAGTTGGTTCCACCTTTTAAGATACTGGTTCTGTACATCATGTAATGAAATTCAGGTTATCTCATTAAAGTATGCTGTGGCTTTTCTGTTTTCTAAACATATCCTGAGAAAATATCATTTGGGTTGCAGGTAAGGCTACTTCTGAATCTTGGAATTGTCTCTCTAGATGTCAGAGTATGCACTTGTAGGTGTGAGTCACTGTTAGTTTTACAGAGGTTAAATAATCAGGGTATTTCCAGCCAGTTAGTATCTTTTTACTTAGGAGTTTGTAGGTCACTTAGGGAAATAAACTTTTCACTATGGAATGAGAACATTGATTATACCTTTATGGATTTTGGTTAGAAAACTATTTACCAAATATCACAATTGATATCCAGAATAGAAATTAGTTTCATTTGAAATAAAAGTAAATAGCTAAAAATTGTTACAATGGATTCCTCTGGTTTAGAGAATTTAAGCGATGCTGGATACTAGGAGAATGATTGAATGAAAATAAGTACATCATTATTGAAAAAATGTATCATAGTAAAGAATACTAAATAATCTTATTCTTCACAATCACTTTTAAAAATTGTTCTCTATAGTTGCTTGTAGAGCAATTGAACTGGAATTTTCTAGTTTTTTAAACATAATTTTATGTCAATATCCAAATACTGAAAGTGAGAAATTGTTCTAAAAGATATGAAAATGGCCTGCTAATACCCATCAAGATGTATATCCAAAGATCTCGATACTCAAAAGCAACTTTGGAAACCTTGTATCACTAGCACAGATTAACTCGAGTTCAGTGAGCAACTACATATTTCCTTAATCTAAGGAACTGATTTTTTGTAGTTATAATGTGTAATAGACTGAAGCAGTTTTAATGTAAAATAGAAGTATTAAAATGGAGCTAGTGAAATAGCATATAATTCCAGAGCTCTGAAAAATCATTGTCACGTGACATTTTTAGGCGATGAATCCTACAGTTTATTGAATGCTTGAACCCAAGTCTTGATGTAGTTAAAAATTGTTGCCATTGGCTTTTGCAGAATGCTTTTCATCTAGTTTCTCTCTGCTAGAAGATCCAAGTCTACAGAGCAAGTTAATGTTGCCAAATTATTTTCTGTTGATTTAAAAATATATATATATGGTAGGAATTAAAGCAGGCCCCCACCACAGAATGATACTTGTATCACAGTGTTGTTCTGAGGATTAATTAAATTTTTTAGTTAGGCCAAGCTATTACAGGCGGCTAAGATAAAATGGGCTTGAAGATGATAGAAGCTATATTCTTTGATGTGACAATCTAAGTATGTGTCGCAAAGGACTGATAAGATGGCGCCGTGGGCTTTGGGGGTCCCTGCTCCTTTTTGTTTGTTCCCCTGCCATCTCAGTGCTGTCACCCTGACATTGTGGTCCAAGATGGCTCATTATCATGTCAACACTTCAGCTGACAGGAAGAGGAGAGAAAGGGCGAATGGTGGGTGTACCCATTCTAAGAGCATTTCACAGAAACTGTACACACCATTTCTGCTCACAGATCATTGTCCACACCTAAGCACAAAGAAGGCTGGGAATTGTTATCTTTGTCTTGGGAAAGCAAATATCCAGCCAAATCATATTATTCTGAAAGAGGGGGAGGGTGGATACTCAGATACCAGTGTGTAAGTAGAAGTCTGTGTCTCGGAGTAGGAGGAAGCATTTTGTAAACCCGTAAGTATTCTTCAGCCATGGTTAGTATTAATGCTCTCAGTTATAATTCTGGACATAATCTCTTGGTGACATAATTAAATCTCTCTATCATTTCTTCATCTGTATACTCAATTATAAGACTTTCCTTGGTTTCAAAAGTATATTTGTGTCTTCCTCCTAATGCTATAGTTTATACTACTAGCTAAGTGAATGTGTAACTGACCAGTATTATGATAAATCTTTTGAGACATGAAAAATTAAATTTCTGAAACCAGCTGCCCAGCCTGTGCCACAGATATAAATCCTTTACCATCTCAGCTGACAACTCTGTTTTCCCAGCAGCTCTGGGTTCATCTATGCCCTGGGTCATGTCCCCTTCCCCTTTTCCAACCCCAGATCCATTCCATGATTAATTTTCTTTGTCTTCGAAAATACCTCCAGAGCTTAACTATTTTTACCATCTTTACTGATACTGCCATTCTGCAAGCTACTGTCATCTCCCTTTGGGATTTTATATTATTTTCTCTTATGATCACTCAGCTTCTAGTTTCTTGCCTTTTCACACGCCTTGTGACTTTTTATTTCAAATCAGGCTTGATGAATTTTGTATGCTAACAGAGAATTTAGCGTGAGGTTTTATGGTAACCTGGTTAGCAGTTGGGCTGCATACAATGTTTGTTTATAGTCCTAGGAGTCAGGTGTCTTTGGTTGGATTTTGTTGCTTTTTGTTTGTGTTTTGTCTTTGTCTCTTGTTGACTTGGATCTTCTTCAAGGTCTGTGAGTTTACATTTGCATCACTTTCAGCTGTGATCCACTATTTACTGCTTTCCTGCAGTAAAGTGTAGTGGACGTGTCCAAGTATCTCACAAGAATATCTCAGCTTCTCTGAGATAACCACAAGTGCTTCTTCTTACTTTCCTTCTGTTGCCTTTCAGATTGAGACAGAAAAGCTAAAAGCAGCTGGAATGAAAGGGTGTTCTTCTTTCTCAGCTTTGGGACAAGGCTTTAATAAGGTCTTTTCCTAAAGAATCAGTCTTTGGATGGAGAATGCTCTGAACTAACCCCATAAGGTTTAGTCTTTCTCTGCCCCTTACCAGGCTTTTAATGATGAGAACTAAAGGAGCTGTCCAAAATCAGCAGTGAATTGTTGCTAACACTTTCTGTCTCCCGTAGCTCCCGCTCCTGGTAATCTCATCTCTGCTGTAACTCTAGATTTGCCAAATTTCAGAGTGGTGGTTGACCTGAGATTGCAGCTCACTGTACGACATGTCACTGATCCTCAGCTTGTTTGTTTTATTGTTCCTTTGGGGTGTATTTGTGTGCGTGCATGCGTGCGTGTGTAAGAATGGAAATAACAAGATGCACATGCTCCTTCCTTACCATATGACCTGCACCACTGCTTCTATTGTTGTATCCCTGGAGTCTACAGTGAATCAGCAGTCCTGTAACCCTTTTGAAACACATGCCAATATGTGTTAGCCTTCCACTGCCCCTGGTCTGTGACTGCCTTCTTATTTCTTTCAAAGTAAAGTAGGACCCTGTAGATCTACCAGGCTTTCCTATCATCTACTCTAGCCCTGCTTATGCTGTTGATGTGCCCTCCATGTGCCAGGTAAAATTTTGTTCTTGTTGCTTCTTGGAATGTGTTTCCTCAGATGATCTCCTTAGTTTGCATGATCAGTACGATGCTTTATAAAACTGTCTTCCTTCTTAACAGTCACCACTCTGCCTCTCCCTACCGTTTCTTCCCCTCTTTCCATTATTCCTGTTTCTCATAATGCTCACCACTATTTGACATATTGTTGTTTCTGTGTTTATGTGTTCATTGTCTGAATCTTTGTCATCATGCACTAAAACATAGAAAGAAGAAAGGCATTTTTAAAAAGATGCCATGTATGCAGTAATGACAGTGCTTGGTAAATAGAAGGCACTTGGTGAATAGTATGTTGCATAATAAATGTTACAGTTATTGTCCTGCTCCTTAAGGAATTTAAAAATCTGGTTAGGAAATCAGTGCGCATTCAGAAAAATAAAGCAAAAGTGTGAAATGTTACAGTGTTTATGTGCCAGGTACTGAGAGATGATTCATAGTAAGAGTGAAGTCACTGTAGGATTCTAGGACCCTTCCACTTTGATGTGAGTAAAACTCTTTCAATCTAGATTCCTTATTTTTTCTATTTATAACATGCTAATAATAATTCTGGCTACACAAGACGGGCAGCAATCTTCCTTAAGGCAGATTTTTCTTAGCCTGTTATTTGAGCCTAGCAAAAGATTAGAAACCCTTTAAGACCATTCTTTTAGAATGTTTTCTGAGATTACAGATTTAGTTGGTTTTTAAATTTTTCTGTCTTTGAAAGCCTTTGCAAATTTTGTAGTGCTTCAGTCTAGCACGTGCAGGGATAGAATATGATTTGAAGCTTCATGAAACATTATACATTAAAACCTGCCTCCAGTAATGGGTCCTTAGACAGCTGCCAGTCATTAACTGATTGGATGCAAATGATAATGGGTAAGGCCTGTCATAGTGACTTCTCTGCTAATTTATGGTTTAAATCTGGGTAGTGGAGAAATCATAGCTGATTTACACTATATAAACCACAAGTCCTGTCTCATTACGTAGTTGATAATGTCAGGAAAATACTTGACACAGTTGATTACTGTAGTTTGCTGATTTCACAATGACTCTTTGCATTTTTTATGCTTAGCAAACAGGAAATTTTTTATGATTGTTGTAATGAGCATGGCACATTGTGTTTCAAATTTTTGTCCCTTTAAAACGACACATTTCATAAGCCATATTCATTAATATTAGCTTGATAAAAGCATTTTTTAGTTCATCACAAAGCAATTAAGTATATGACCAGTCTTCTTGCTTAGTATCTGGCCTTTGCTAAATTCCCTTGTGTTCTTATCTCTGTAGGAATTTGACACTATTAATTTCTGTTACTGTGACTCTCGGGGCTTTTAATCAGTTTTCACAGTCTCTCTCATTTTCCACAACTCTTTCATCTGTATTTTTTGCCTCTTTCCTAAATTGACGCAGCATCAGATT